CTCTTCCAGAGGACCGGCTCCTTCAAGGTGCGCAGGGACGGCAGCAGTCAGCCCCTGGCCAGCCTTGGGGCAAAGTTTGCTTCTTGCACCGGAGAAACTCCCTTTCCACTGGCACCCGGGAGCTCTTGGTGCAGCTCAAGGCAGACATGGCTCCCGCCTCCCTGCATGGGGGCGGCACAGCTTCCCAGGGCACAGCCCTGCATGGGGGCTGCACTGCTTCCCAGGGCACGGGGGAGGCTGTATGGAAAAAAATTCCCTACCTCCTTGCACAGCCTGACACAGGGCTTGCACAGGCAAGCGGCACTGAGGGTGCTGTGCTCTCCTTCCAGATCCGCGGCGCGCTGAACGCAGTCAGGAGCTTCATTGAAGAAAGCGAACGCACTGGAGCGGGGCTGCCTCGGGCCGTTGTGACGCACAGCAGTGGGAATCACGGCCAGGCGCTAGCCTGCGCTGCCCAGGGGGAAGGTAACGCGTACCCCAACCTCCAGCTCCGTCCCAGAGAGCGCAGCCAGGCAGCAGGCACAGGGCCAAGGGTAAATGCAGAGCTGGTGCCTGGGGCAGAGGCAGCTCGAGGGGCCCAGCTCTGCCAGCCCCGCACTGCCAGGCTGCACACACATTGCTCCTGCAGCACTAACTGGCTGCTTGCAGCTTTTTGGCTGTTGGATTTGCCTCCTCTTTCATCACACAGGGATTCCAGCCTACATTGTGGTGCCCCGGACAGCCCCGCACTGTAAGCAAGCCGCCATCCATGCCTATGGTGCCACGCTGGTGCCATGCGAGCCCAGCGACAAGGTAAGGGACAGGGGAGACCAGCCAAGGACACGGCCCAGCCAACCTGGGAGACAACCATCTGCACTCTTTTCCCTTAGTCCAGAGCTGAGACAGCAGCTCAAGTAGTCCAGGAGACAGGAGGAGTCATGGTGCACCCCAACCAGGAGCCGGTGGTGATGGCAGGGCAAGGCACTATTGCCCTGGAGGTGCTGGAGCAAGTGAGGGAAACGCACAGCCCAGATCCAGACCAGGGCCCTGCCCCTCACAGGCAGGGGCACAGCAAAAAGGCACTCACGCTTCCTTTCTGCACAGGCACCCGAGGTAAACGCAGTGGTGGTTCCTGTCGGAGGCGGAGGAATGATTGCAGGAATAGCAGTTGCCATCAAGGTAGGCAACAGCTCATCTGGGAAGCGTTCGCTGCAGGGCTCCCAAGCCAAGGCGGCAGCTTTTCTCTTCAGAAACACGGAGACCCTGCTGTGAAAATCTCTGGGTGCCTGGGGTCTGCACGGCAGCAGCATGGCGTACATGGCCCCCCGCACACGCAGCAACAGCAGACAGGCACACGCTACACTTCAACCGAGCAGCTCCTCCTGCTCTCCGCAGGCTTTAAGACCAGATGTGAAAGTGTTCGGTGCTGAGCCATGCAATGCAGATGACTGTTACCAGTCCAAGGTGAGAGGGGAGCTGACCCCCAACCTTCACCCGCCGGATACCATCGCAGATGCAGTTAAAACCAGCATCGGACCAAACACGTGGCCCATCATCAGGGATTTGGTTGATGACGTCCTGACAGTCTCTGAGGAAGAAATCAAGGTAAATGCTCCCGGCTGCCTTCTCACGGTAGCTGCCAGCAGGCAGCTGCCTCCATCCATGCTCTGCCCCTCCACTCTCACCCCTACGCTCTCCAGGGCAGCACAAGCCCCTGCACACCACCACAGCTGTGCAACACCCACACTGTCTCCAGCTGGAAAGAGCTGGCGGAAGCTCTGCTCTCCTTTCCCAGCGCGCTGCAGAGAGATGTGCACACGCAGTGCCCTCCGCAGCCCTGGAGCAGCCTATACTTGCTGCTGGGATGACAGCTGCTGCTCTGTCCCAACAGCAAGCCACGCGGCTGGTGTGGGAAAGGATGAAGCTGCTGATTGAGCCAACAGCAGGCGTGGGAGTGGCGGCCGTGCTCTCGGAGCAGTTCCAGGCGGTCCCCCGGGACGTAGAGAACATTTGCATCGTGCTGTGTGGGGGAAACGTGGACCTGAGCTCCCTGACCTGGCTCACAGACCTCCCTGGGAAAGCGGAATGAGAACAGAGCGGTGTCTCAAGCAATGGAAACCTCGCTCTAAATTTGTAAAGTCTGGTTTGTGCACTACTAAAAACAGATGAACAACCCCAAACGTTTGAAAGTTTTTGTGGAGGGATGAGGGAAGCTGTCAGCCTCTACAGCACAGAGTCGCTTGGTTCTATAGCAAAGGATTGCTATTGGGGGGCCTGGAAACAAAGCACTGCCTGTTTTCCCCTTCCCAGCCACCCTGCTCTGGGCCAGGCCTCCAGTGAGCTGTGCTCAGTCACTCTCCTGAGCTGCTACTTCACCTTTCTTTCTTAGCATCACAATAACTTACAGCAAACTCCTGTCCTCAAAACAGCAAAATTCCCCGCACCCACTGCTATGGCAGGGCACACGGGAAAGACAACAGCCCCAGTGGGCCACAGGGTTCAGAAGAGAACAGCCTCTCCATTTGGCCTCCACAGCCAGCCACCACCAAGACACAGGCACTTAGATGTTTTTGAAAACATTTTCCATTAAAATAAATAGCTGTAGCTGGTACCTGAGCAGCAGCTGGTGAGACAGCCACCCCTGTACAGACCCCAGCAGTAATACATCCAAGACATCAGTGCTGTCCTCACTGTGCACGGGCTGAGAACAGCATCCAGGGAGCTAAGGCACAAACTGCATTAGCCGTGATGGAGACTTATTCCATTTCCACCTCCTGCACTGGCAGCGTGCTCTCACTCCTCACCCACGGCACAGGCTCCGGAACATGGGGGTCATAAGTCCATTTAGGAAAAACGCGCTTGTAGAGGTTCGACATCAGTGCTGTCCTCACTGTGCACGGGCTGAGAACAGCATCCAGGGAGCTAAGGCACAAACTGCATTAGCCGTGATGGAGACTTATTCCATTTCCACCTCCTGCACTGGCAGCGTGCTCTCACTCCTCACCCACGGCACAGGCTCCGGAACATGGGGGTCATAAGTCCATTTAGGAAAAACGCGCTTGTAGAGGTTCAGAAAAGTGGCACTTCATGTGACCATGGGTCCCTAGGCAGAGAGCAGAAGAGGCCATTAGCTGTCTCTCCTGCCCAGGAGGACCACATCCTGCCCAGCATCAGAGATAAACACAGAACCAAACCTACCTAAAGGCTCCTTGATGTGTCCTCTACGACCCCACTTTGTCCTCAGCTCCACTGGCTTAAACCACATCACATCCTCTGGAGACCAAAATACAAAAAGGCAAGTAAGAAACAGGCTTTGCTGCACCAACACAACCACTCTCACAGGGGTAGGAGTTCTGCCTCCACATACCCTCTTCCCACCACAGAGACAGGACATACCTCTGTTAAAGAACATGTATCGCACAACAGCTGTCTTGGTAAAGATCTTGAAAGGATGGCCACTGAGCACCAGCCGCTTGATGACAATTCTGTCTGGGTCCACAGAAAGCAGAGAACCTGTGGCGATGAGGTCGTGCATTAATTCCTGCAAGGCAGAGTCACTAACGCGCTGGGGCAGCGTCACGGGACGTGCCTCCATCACCTCAACTCCCTTCCCCAAATGGTTCCAGGCCTAGAGCAACCCCACAGCAGGGAGAGACAAAAGGTGCCAGTGATGTTGGGGACAGAAATGGATTAATCTTCTTGAACAGCATGAAGGGGACAGCTTTTTAAAGTCATACTTGCAGATGCACTTGTAAGTGGGGTATGGGAGGGCAGCGTCACGGGACGTGCCTCCATCACCTCAACTCCCTTCCCCAAATGGTTCCAGGCCTAGAGCAACCCCACAGCAGGGAGAGACAAAAGGTGCCAGTGATGTTGGGGACAGAAATGGATTAATCTTCTTGAACAGCATGAAGGGGACAGCTTTTTAAAGTCATACTTGCAGATGCACTTGTAAGTGGGGTATGGGAACGCCCTCCTAATGTTTGTTTCCCAGACACCACCTCTTCAGCACTTATCAACTTACCATTACTTCTCTGTTTAAAAAGAAGCACTGAGGCAGGAGGGAAAGTGATGGGAGCATAAACAGTCACCACCAAGGCAGCATCCAGGCGCAGGAAACGCTCCAGCTTGTGCTTATCAGCTAGGACAGAACAGCAATGGTCAAGTTCAGGCCAACAGCAGTCCTTACAGGTCTAGGAAACCCCACTGAGCCCATTCTTTCCTGGCACACAGGCTCTGCGCTTTAGGAAAATGGGCAACAAACACCACTCCTCTGCTGGCACAGAGTATCTGAGAATAAAGGTGATCCTCTGAGCTACCAGCTCACTGCGTGGAGCCTGCCACTGCCTTGCCTGCACCAGTGAGCCACCTTGCCCAAGCCCACCCACTCCACACTATTTAGTGCCTCCCCTGGAAGCCTCAGAGCCTAGGAGTGAGTCTTCAGAAGAGTCCTTCAGCCAGGTTCAGACACCATGGCTAAGACATCACAGGCTTCCTGCCCTAGACACCCCAGCCCCACCTCCTGGCATACCCATGCCCACCCCACCGGTCCCTCACAAACCTGCGGTGTGCTGGGAGAACAGGGGGGATGCTCGGAAGCGCCTGAACCCACAGTGAATGATCAGCTCCTCCTTTGCCCTCACTGGCTCACTGTTGCACGGATGCCGACGCACCAGGAAATTCAACACGGACATCTGCAGGAGAGGCAGCACTGTGAGGGGCTGACAGCAGGGCTGGCGAACGATGGTGGACAGAGCAGAAAGCAAGGGGACATTGCAGCAGGGACAAATGGTTTCCCAAAGGACCGCGGGTCACTGATGCACACACCTCAGCCAGGCTCAGACACTCTAGCCTAAATAACCCTGGCAGCTTCAGCCTGCTCTGACCAAAGGGAAGGTCCTACTTTCAAATGTGAGCAATGCAGGGAGATTTCAGCCCACACTCTCTGCAGACACAACCTCTCCAACCCATGTAGCCTGAGGGAATTCAGACAATGAGCTGTACACCCACAAGGTATCAGCAGGGCCATACTTAGTCACCTTCTGTTCATGGGGAAGCAGCGAGAACAGGACTAGTGGCTTCCCTTCTTTGAAGCTCTCCATCACTGAAACAGGGACATTGCAGATATGAAGTGTAACATACCAGCCAACCTGCCAAGAGAGGATCGGTTGTGAATACTTCTCTCAACAGAAAAGTGTCAGAAGTAACATGTGCCTGGGTTAGAGAGGGAATACAGGAGAACAGGATCATCTGAACTCATAGCTTCATGCTAAGAACCAACTGGCTGGAACATCCACCCAGACACCTCCCGGACAAGTTTTTCCTACTAGGACCAAGGGAACACAGTAGGGGAAGAGATCATCAAGAGAAAAGGGAATTACTGAGGCTCCTTCAGTCTCCTCTTTCTCGATTTGCCGGAAGAGGTGTTTTCTGGTTCGGCAGAAGTCCTGGAACTGGAAAATCCTGGCATAGTCCCTTGGAAGATTCTCTTTGGGGTCCCATGGAGAAGTCCGGAAGCTCTTCAGCCCCCTGTACTTCTGGAACCTAAAGGATAGATAACAAGAAAAACAAGCTACTTCACAAATAGAGGTATCTGGCCAGCACCTTCTGTGGTCTGCAGAGACTCACACCTTCAGAGGGCAAAGGGAGCAAAGCAAATGTTAGCTCTCAGAAAAGATCTTAGTGCAGGGAAAGCTAGAAACAACAGCCAAGTCCCCAAACAGCCTGCCCTTGCATGAGGGTTCTGCCATGCTTCCCCCTCTCCCAGGTCAGAACCCAGATGTCCCTGCTGAAGGGAGCTGCCCAGGCCCAACCACTGCCCCACAACTACTGCCTCCCCTGGAAGCCTCAGAGCCTAAGAGTGAGTCTTCAGAAGAGTCCTTCAGCCAGGTTCAGACACCACGGCTAAGACATCACAGGCTTCCTTCCCTATCTCACCAAACTATACAGAAGGGTGCCTTCCAGCTTCTCTCCCAGCAAAGCATCCCGTTTCTTACCGGACTCTGGCAGGTACGTCACGTGGCGTGTCCACCTCATCTGGAAACATTTCATCCATTCTCTCCTGTTTGTATCTCTCCAGCATCTGTTCATCTTCCTCCACCTTCTCATCATACTGGTCGTCCCGCAAGCACTCGGAAATGGTCATGGTCTCACACTCCTCCTCTGCAGGCTCCTCTTCCTCCTCACTGCTTTCCCCCTCCTGACACACAGGACAGCACAGATCCCATGAGCACACATGCTCTGTTGAGGTCCCTGGAGCACTGCAAACCCTGCATGTACCCACACTGTGTGAATCGTGACCCAAGCTACACCACAGTCCCTCATTTCGGTATCTAACAGGCCAAAGAAGCAACATGATACAAGCTGGAAGGACGTGATTGTCCTAGGATACACAATAATTCCCTGGAGAACAGCCACAGTATCAGCTCTTAGGGGTACCTGGGAAACTGCCTCTTCCATCATATCATCATCAATGTCATCATCTTCATCATCGTCGTCATCATCATCTTCCTGCTTGCCCTCTTCATCATCCACAATCCAGGCAGCCTGGTACTTGGATGTGCCTTTGGGGACCTTCACCACCCTCCTGTTTGCCTTCAGAGAAGCTGTAGGATTCCCACCAATGGTTAATACAGGAACAATTCTCCTTTCTCTCAGCAACATTTACACCAGGATAGCCAAGATTAGCTCTAGACCAGAGCTGCTGTTTCCCAACACAGAATTTTCTAAATGTAACCCTGCTAACTGCCAGGCAAACCATGCAGCCTGCTAGTCAGGTGATGGGTCTAGGAATGGAAGTCCTGGGCTCCTAACTAGCATGTTTCTTCACAGTCACCCCAGTGACAGAGGGTTTCTAACAACCCTCTTAACAGGGACAAGGAAAAGGTACAGAAGTATTGCTGCTACTCACCCTCTGCTTCTTGCAGTTCTTCTTCAGTGGGCCATGTCTGTTCCCCTTCCATAGGATCAGGAACCACTTCTGACTGCAGAGACTCCTGCTTGTTTGGATCTGCCTTCATCAGGACCTTAACATCTTCCTCCATCTCATCGGTACAGTTTACAGAGTCATCCTGAAGGGCAAGAGCAGAGTTCCCAGCTGTGAATACACTTAACTCAAGCTAGCAATCACTCTGAAGCAAAACTCCGTTCAGTATCACATTCATTACATCGTGACGTAATGTGCAAGGAATCTCAGCTCAGAGGCAGAACACAGCCCTACTGTCTCTGATACAACTGCCTTTCCCCTCCCCTTGACCACATACACCCAGTTGTATTTTCCTGATGAAAGTTTAGAAACATCGTGTTCTAACAGGTCCAGCAAAGCCCTAACATCCCACACACCTGTACTTCCATGTCCTGACTCCTCTTCTGTCCTTTAACCACTCGCGGGTTCAAAGAGAGGGGGTCGGGGGGGGCATCCACCTGGCTCATCTGGAAATCTCCATACCCCACAATATGCACGAGGCGGTTCACATCGAGGGTCTGTCCCCGGACAAAGCCGGACACCTTCAAGGTCCCAATCAGGTCGCTCTCCTGACCGGGTACAAACTCAGCAGCATAGGCGAGCAGGTGAGCCCGCCTGTTCCGAAAAGCGAGATGCCGCTGCTTCTGGGTGGCGAGGTGCCTCAGCAGCAGCAAGGACTCCTGCTCTGAGTTCAGAGGGAAGAGCTTGGCCTCTGGAAAGCGCTTCTCAATGGCTTTGGCAAGTTTCTTCTTGGCATCTATCCGCTTCTTTGGTGGCAAGTCAGTGCCTCCTGGGACAGCAAGAGCTACCAAGCAGTGCAGAGAACAGAGTTCAGTTCAGATCATAAGTCTTCTTATATCCCTTTTACTAAGCATTAACACTCAGATATCAGCAACCCAAACAATCAAATGGATTCACACCACAAGGTGCAAAGGCAGTTTCACCCATTCAGAAGAACAACCAGAACAGAAAACCTGTCTTTAGAGGTAAGATTTTGAGACTAAGTAAGACCATGGAGATAAGGAGCCAGGAACTGAACTTAACAAGAAAGCGTCTGAATCCCTTCACTCTGCACACCTAGATAACCAGTACAATACTGACACCACCACACACCTCAGAGGCCTAAACCTAGAACACCCCTTTTATCTCCAGCATTCCCCCACCAGGGTAGTAACACGAGAAGGCAGCACGACAATGGCATTCACCCGACTGCTCAGAAACAGAGCGGTCAGGGACCTGTGATCACCTATTAACACAAGGAGTTTTTAATTACTGCAACAGTAAATCCCCATCAAGTACCTCCTCTACCTATACCCCACTAGAAGCCCTTAATGTTTCTCGCTTGCTCACCGTAACTGGGGAGCCCCTGTGCGAAGAGGCAGGAGAGGCAGTGCTCTCCTGCGCTGTCCCAGCCTTCTGCAGGATCCAGGATGAACAGAAGGGAGTCGGCAACCTTTGCAAGGTCTAAAATAGCATGAAGGTCCCCTGCATGCAAAACACCTCCATTAATGAGGCTGCCAGAGGTACAGAACTATGAATGACACCAACAACAGCATTTCCTCACCTGCCTGTGCTGTCACAAAGCGCCAGCGCTGCTTGAGTCGGGGGCAAAGGAGCACAAACCCACCAGCTTTCCCCTCATCCACATGGATAACAGCCGAATCCTGGCTCTTCAGCAAGCAGAAGGTGTCGTGGACTGCAGCCCTGCTGTGCAGCGGCACCAGAACCACGAGGTGTGGGGGTCCATCCCTGCTGCCCAAGCTCCGCTTTTCCGCCAGGACCTGTGGGTACAACTGCAGAGCATGAACCCCAGCCCCAGTCCAGTTCTTATCCCGCCCCACAGATCAAGACCGAGTTCTCAACCTGAATGCACTGGGTCCAGTAATGCCCCACTTGCCCCAAACTGAGCTGACCAAACCCTCCCCCCAACTTGCGTCCACCCACCCAGCCATTCCTCTCCCTGGCCCACCTCCGGATCCCCCCACAAAGACCCAAACCAGTCCGTCCCCACAGACTCACACCTACATCGAGACCGGCCCGATTCCCGCGCCCCACGGCCGCCTCACAAAGGCCCGATTCCCGCTCTCCCCACAACACTGAAACCGTCCCGACCCGGTTCCCCCAGGGCCCTCACCGCTTCCTT